TGCACACACGCACGCACACATGCACACATGCACGCACACACACGCACGCACGCACACATGCACGCACACGCACACACACACGCACACGCATACGCATACACACGTGCGGGTGCACACACACCTCAACCTATTTTAAGTAAGTTTATGATTTTGTATTGGGCCTCATAGCTATGGTGGTGAGCATGTGACTGTCTATTAGGAAAGAGTTGAAGGGATAGGAGAAAGAGTCCCCTGGCAATGGACGCTAGGCTCAGAGGCCACCACTGTGCAGCACAGCAGTGTAACCCAGACTCCCAGAGTGGGATACACACAAGAAGTTGCCTTCATCGGGAACCAGCTTCATGAAATCCTAACTGTTGCTGGAGGATAAATAGATGGGTGTATGCTTCCGAAGAGGTTTATGAGCTACTTACGAGGGAGGTGGACCTTTGGTTAGCACCATGCTGGCAATGTCGATGTTTGAGAAACCCAAGCCAGTGGCTGGAGTTCACCTCTTCCGTCCCGTGAACCTGGAGGGAATAGAAAGGCTTTCTTTATGTACTATACCCCAGTCTTGAAGTGACGGGCTCCAGAGTCAAGTTGTAACCTCAGCCTGCCCACAAAGCCTCCTTGGGCATCCTTGAGTATGGTCATACACATGAGTAGCTGGTAGCAGGAGGGACACGGGGCATCTCCTTCCTGGCTGGCACGGTCTGAGAAGGAGGGAATTTGGGTGACATGCTGTTATGGGACTCACGATGCAGCAGGCAGTTAGGGCTTGGGGCAAGTGTCAGGGGCAGGTTCAGTCAGCTGCTTCTCCGCCTGTGCAATGGAGAGAAGGCTAGCAGTCCTACAGGTGCTGCCGTAGGGCCACACTTGAAGGAGCAAGCAGAGATGGGAAACCGCTTGATGCGCTTATCTGATGGGAGGATGTGGCTGGGGACATAAAAGTCTCTGATAGGGTACCTGCTCAGAGGAAAGGCGTGGTCTTCTCTAGGGCACCCGTGAAGATGTGAGGATATTTGAAGTACTTGGAACATGACTTGGTAACCCAGAGGACAAAGAAAGAAAAAGTGGGTAGCATTCTGTCAGCATCACACCCTGAACTCTGAGCCCTTGTAATCTCCGTCTTTCAGAATCAGCCTGGCCAGCAGCCAGTTGAATGAGCTTCAGACAGACTACACTCCAGGGCTGGCCTGCTGCAGCCGTCTTGCTGGACTGTGGCCTAGGTAAAGAGCCAGCATTGGGCTGCCAAGGAAGCCACAATGTTCTGTAAACACAGAGGCATTCTCCAACACGCCATCCTGTGTGTGTCAGGCACGTGCATTTACACACGCGTCTCTTTAGCTCACATCACAGGATCTGAGAACACCTTTCTTTTGTGACCTGCTGGATGGACCAGAGGGATGCTAGCAGGTTTGAATCAGCAGCTGTTGTTAGGACCACTGAGTGCTTTGGGCTTGGAAAAGCTTAGAATCCAGCGGGTCTCTTCTCTGCTTTAGTCTGGCAGACCTTCTGTCCCAAGTCTTGGCTCGAGGATGAGAGAAGCAAGTACCTGGGCACTCTGCTCGCCAGGCTCGTTCCTGCCTGGCTGACCTGGGAATTGGGAGTCATGGTGCCAGTTGGCAGTTCAGGATTGTGGTGATAATGTTGGGGGCATGGTGGACCTACAGCCTGCTGCTTCCTATAGTCGCTTTCTGACTCCTGTGGGCAATGGGTTTCTCTCTCGTCTTTGTTTACCGTGACTTCAAGGTTATCCCTTCTTCAAGAATACTTCCTTATAACGTATTTGGTCACACCTACCGTTCACTCCACAGTCCTTCTCCTCCCGGTCCCCTCCGTCCCATATCCCCTCTCCATCATTTCATTCTCTTTTCTTCTTTAATATTTTTTATTAAATTAGTTAATGAATTCGTTTATTAATTTTGAGGCAGGATAGCTCTGCATAGCTCTGATTATCCCGAAATTCATTACGCAGACCAGAATAACTTTGAACTCACAGAGATCCACTCACCTGTGTCTCCAAAGTGCTTGTATTAAAGGAGTGTGCCACAATGCCCAATCCATTTTCTTCTTAAAAAGAAAATAAACACCCACTGAGTCCAGTGCTTCTCAGTGCTCAGGGGTCATCCTTGAAGAAAACCGTTTCTCCATCTCTGCTCCTCGGCAGCCATCCCCGACCAGTAGCTTCTCAGCTAGGAGGCCCTCCTGCTCCATGCTGGAATTCTGACTGGCTTGTTCTCACACTGGTCTTGTGCAGGCAGTCACGGGCTGTGTGAGTTCAGGGGTGCAGTGGTTCCATTGTTTCCAAAAGATGTTTTCTCCCAGCAGCCCCCAGTCAACAACCTTGCTCTTATAATCTTACCAGTCCCCTTCACTGATGTTCCCTGCGCTCTGGGAAGCAGGGGTGTGATACATTTGTCACTGGCTCCCTGCACACTGACCAAGTGTGGGTGTTTGTATATGTCACCCAGGGCAAGCGGAAGTTTCTTTCCTGAGAGGAAGGACTAAACTAATCTATAAGTGTAAGGGTACACGTGCAGAAGACAGCTGGACGCAATGGTGGCTTTTTATTTCATTTCTGGTGCGTGGTGCTGGAGATGGAACCCAGGGCCTCAGACAGACTCCCTGGTCCCTGTTACAGGATGAGTTATGAACAGTGGTTGTTTGCTGGGTTGATGGGAAACTTGAGTCTGTGGGAGGCTTCAGACCCATCACTGGGGTTTTACATTTACACTCCCTAGCCCCTAGGGCTTGACATGGCAAGCCATGGATGTTTTAGCCATCTTCATTTGTCAGTCTGATAATTCTTTTCACCTGTGAAAACAGTGGCGGTCTAAGGCAGACTCTCTGACCTACTCACTCCAAAGACTCAAGCTCAACCCAGAAGGAAGGGGGCGGGGTGGGGGAACCACCCATCAGTGTGGCTTTATTCTTGGGTTTGAGTTAGAGCATCCAGAGGCTGGCCAAGCCTCCCTTGTATGGCTGAGCGAGGCAGCAAGTCTGACCTGTGTGGGAAAGGCCCCCTTAGTCCTCACGGACACAGGGCTTCTGCTAGGAAATGGGGCATTGGAGGCACATCATTGGTGGGGATGTGGAGTGTGTGTGTCCTCGCTGAGGTCCTGCAGGGGCACATAGCAAGGCTGCTGGGCAGGGACCCTCAGTGTTGGAGGGTTAGCTCCTCCACACACCAGCAAGATAACCTTCCAGGAGCAGATGCACACCTCCCAGGGTTAATCTGAGAAGACATAATTCCTTGCCAGGACAGGGGTGTCTCTGGGGTCCTCAGGGCTCTGCCAGCTTCTGGGGTAGGAATTAAGACAGAACCTTCATGCCTCCCTGTGGCGCCTGACATCAGGCCCCAAAGTGGGTGGCTCTGGTGGCTTCTGGAACAGAGCAAGGAGATCCAGGACCAGCTTTCTTTACCCCAGGGAAACTACTAACTTCTGCTTAGTCTGGTAGTGGTGCAGTCTATCCCAAGGCTTGCTGTATCTAATGTCCTGGGCTGCTCAGCTCTTTCCTGTTTCCTGGCTGCTAGAGACAAGGGACAGCTCGGGTCCTCTTTGAGCATGGGCTTGGAACCTGCAGCTTGAGCAGCGATCCGGTTTTTGTCTGAGTGCCCTCATACAATGCCTTTTCCAAGGGACTCACTGCTCAACTCACCACACACTTGCCTAACTGTTGTTGTTTAGTCTTCTGTGCTGTAGGACTTGGGCTGCTACCTTTCTGAAATATGCATAATACTCTAGAGCTGGAGTGATGGCCCAGTTAGCAAGGAGCTTCTATGCAAGCATGAGGGCCTGAGTTCAATCCTCAGTACCCACTTAAAGCCAGGTGTGCTGGTTCCTGCTTGTAGTCCCTAACTGGGCTAGGAGAGACAGGTGCATCCTTGGGGCAGTGAGAAAGCCAAACAGAAGATGGATAGAACCCAAAGAATGACAACCACACACACACACACACACACACAAATGCACACACACACACAGACAAACTCTAGGATAGATTTATTTTTGTAACACCTTGAAGTGAACTTAATGTTACATCCCTCTTTGGATTTTGCACCCAGGAGGCCCAGACTGATTCTCCTACCACACCCTACCCTACTGAACCCTACTGGACCCTACCCTACCCTCCTGAACCCTACTCTAACCTACCCTACCCTCCTGAACCCTACTCTACCCTACCCTACCCTACCCTACCCTGCCCTACACTACACTACCCTATCCCTCTAGTAACTGGTAACTAGTAAAGATGAGCATCTGCTCATATACCTACTGATTGTCTTAGTCATGCTCTCTATTGCTGTGACGAAACACCATGACCAAAACCAACTTGGTGAGGAAAGGGTTTACGTGGGTAATTCTTCCACATCACAATCTGTCACTGAAGGAAGTCAGGGCAGGAGCCTGGAGACAGAAGCTGATGCCGAGGCCATGGAGGAGTGCTGCTCACTGGCTTGCCCCTTATGGCTTGCTCAGCCTGCTTTCTTACAGAATCCAGGACCACCAGCCCAGGAATGCACCACCCACAATGGGCTGGGCCCTTCCACATCAATCACCAATTAATAAATAGAATACCCTATAGGCTTCCCGACAGCCCACTCTTATGGAGGCATTCCTCAATTGAGGATTCTTCTTCTCTGAAGACTCTAGCCTGTGTCAAGTTGACATAAAAACATAAAACAATCGCAGTCTTTGATTCATTTTTCTTTTTTTTTAAATTGGTGGTTTTACTTTAACTTGGTGTGTGTGTGTGTGTGAGTATATGAGTGTGTGTGTGAGAGTGAGTGTGCATGTGAGTGTGTGTGAGTGAGTGTGTGACTGTGTGTAAGTGTGAGTGAGTGTATGAGTGTGTGTGAGTGTGTGTGAGTTAGTGTGTGTGTGTGAGTGTGTGTGTTGTGTTGTGTGTGTGTACACACACAGTAAATTAGTATGGCTTCCTGATACGTACTCACATTGTTCACACACCTCTTCTTCTCCAGCACGGGATGTGACAGCATGCTTTTTCTTTTTGATGTGCAGGGTCCTTGTGGGTGCACCGAAGGCAGAATCTAAATATAGCACTTCAGTGAAGTCCCCTGGAGCTGTGTTTAAGTGTCGAGTCCACACCAACCCTGACCGGAGATGCACCGAACTGGACATGGCTCGAGGTGGGTGGACATGATTGTCAACATAGAAATGGGACTGATATTCTCACATTTTATTCTTTTTCACCTGCCTTCCCTCTGTCTTACAAATATGATTGAGAGCCTGTTAGTTAGTAAGCACTGGGATATGCCAATGAACAGAGGAAACAAGGAATCTGTCATCTGAAGCCTTGACAACCAGTAGCCAAAACAGACATTAAACAATAGAGTAAGAGAAATCCAGAGGGAAGGTGTGTGTTAGGATCAACTCTCTATTGGAAGTTAGAAGAGGCCTCCTTGGGGACCTTTCTGGGTATGGAAGGTGACTGGTGCCCAGCTGGGGAAGTCCAGGAAGTGAAGTCTCCAAGCAGAGCAGTGGCAGCATCATTGGTAGACCAGCTGGAATGGTTCTGGTCCAGCTGTGCATATTGGGGAGGGCTTGCCTTGAGAAGACTGAGATGGGAGAATTGAACTCATACCTCATCCCTTAGAATCCACATGAAGAGCTGGATGTGGTCACACGAGCCTTCTTCCATCTCAGTGTTAAGGAGGTGGAGGTGAGAATCCCTTGGGACCACTGGCGAGCCAATGTAGCTAATCCTGTGAGCTCCAAGCTCAGTGAGAGACTCTACCTCAAAGTATAAAGTGGAGAACAATTGAGGAAGACTCCTGGTGTCAACCTCTGGACTCTACATACCTGAACACACACTTGAATGTACATTCCCAACATATATGCACATACACAAACATATAAACCCACACACATGAATGCACACCTCCAACATGTGCACACATGTAACGAGTATGGTTTTCCTACGCCGCCTGGTCTTGTCCTGCCGCCGCGCCAGCCCCAATTAACACACAGAGACTCTGTATTTGATATTATACTATTGGCCAGTTACTACTTTCTTATCGGCTAGCTCTGTCTTAAGTATTAACCCATTTGTGTTAATCTATGTATTTTCACGTGGTCTTCTTACCCGGAGCCGGCTGCCGCATACTGCTCTCTCCAGACTCTCCATCTTGGCTCCTCCTTACTATTTCCTCTTCCTCCTTGTCTCCTAGTCCCTCCTATCTTCCTTTCCTATTGGCCAACAGTGCTTTATTTATTAACCAGCATGAGAAACATATACAGAATGACATCTCCCATCACACACACACACACAAACACATAAATGCACTCCCCCAACATGTATGCACATACGCAAACATGTAAACACACACAGACATGAATACAAACCCCCAATGTACACACAGAAATGCACATTACTAACGTGCTCACACACATACAAAATTGTAAACATACACAGCAAAGCAACAACAACAAAAAAACCCAAAGAAGTGTCCTGCTTTTCTTTGTCAGAAGAGGAGCCTTGTCCATGTATGACCTGCTATGTGAAATGTTCCTTAAGGTGACTTCTTAGACACCTTTTGCTTCATGGTGATTTGCTGTGGATAAAGAGTGGGCTGAATGAAATAGCAACATTTTGTTACAAGTTTCTGTCCTGTTGACATTTTGTTTCAAGTACAAAAACTTGAGCCCCCGGGACAACTGTTGGAAGGGCAGCCGGCTGTACCACTCTTCAAGGCATCTCTGGCCTCTTTTCTCCCTCTAGGGAAGAACAAGGGTGAGCCCTGTGGGAAGACCTGCAAGGGAGACCGAGATGATGAGTGGATGGGGGTGAGCCTGGCCCGGCAGCCCAGAGCAGATGGCCTTGTCCTGGTAAGACCTCTGGGGAGAGGGCGACTTGGGACAGGGCGGCACCCTCAGAATGAACGACTCACCCCATAGGCAGGCCGGCTAGCATAGAAGCCAGAGCACAAGCTTTAAGGCTCTCTGTTGCTGCTTTGAGCCATGCCCACCTGCAGCTTCAGGCCACATGCAACTGCATGCAGCGGAGGGCAGCTGTGTACGTGGCCACACAAGACTGCAAAGCCATTGAAAACATCATGAGATGCTTTTATGACATTTCAAAGTAACTCAGCTGTGTGAACCTTGCTGGTGACGGTCAAAGGCTGACATGCCCAGGACTTATCTGTGTGTTTTCTTTAGACAAACTGGGCTGAGGGCGTAGCTCACTGGTAGAGTGTTTTCCCAGCAAGCATGAGCCCTGGTCAATCCCAGGAGGCATTAGGAGAGAGAGTGGGGGAGGGGGACACAGGTAGAAAGAAGTTTGTAATTTTGTTTCCTACTTGTTGTGTTTGTCTTCAGGTCAAGGTATAATTTACATAAAATACACAAATCTTGAGGTTTTAGCAAATGCACATGTCAGAACATCCCAGGATGTTCTCTGTATCTTTATCTAATCATCCCCTCGAATCCCAGTGGCAGCCACTGCCTTGCAAACATTGCTGATGGTTTTTCTAGAACTTCACGTGAAAGTAATTCTGCCATGTGCTCAATTCCTGGGACAACCACACTGAAGGGAGAGAACTGACTCCCACAATTTACCCTCCTAAGTACACACACACACACACACACACACACACACACACACACACACACGCACACACCAGGCAACAATTACTATAATAAAAAAGAACCTCCATGAGAGAGGCTTGGTTTTTAGGCATTTTCTCTTTCCTCTTTTATACTCTCCTGCTGAGGTATAAGCTAAGACACTCAAGCCTGCACACCTCACATCTTGGTGACATTTTTACACATGTACATCTAGGCATCCCCGTGGCCAGCTCCCAGAAGGCTTTGTGCCCTTTCCCAGGCCACTGATGCCCTGTAGGGTGAGCCTCTTCAGAGGACCCAGCTTCTGCCATTGGCTTTCCTCGAAGGCTCTAGGAAGATTTGTGTTTTAAAAGTTCCAGGTCAAGAAGGGAAAATGAGTCCAGCTGCTGCATCTCAGGAGTTTCCTTTGGATCACAGGCCGTCCGTCAAAGCTAGGGTTTTATGGATGTTTGCTCCCAGGGGAAATGGGTTTTCCTCAAGCATACAGGCCGAAAGTTCCCAGCCCCCTCTGAGGAGCTGTGTTCTCTGCTGATATCAGCCCCACCTCAGCACACTTACGCACCCCCAGCATTGCTGGGTCCTTGGAAGAGAGGGGCAGCTGGATGCTGTCACCAGCAATGCCTCCCCAGTGGACACTAGTGTAGGTCTCATTGAACAACCCCTCATGTCTGCTGGCCTTGGATTCCAGTCCTTTAATCCTTGTCTCAGCAAGTCATGGATGATGGCCAAGCCACCACATTCCTCTAGGCATGGTGGCCTGACCCCACAGGGTGATTCAGCCCCAAAGGGCCGGACTCTTGTCTGCCATTCTTGGGAAAGAGAGGGGGAGAAACTAAGTATGTATATTCTCCAGAGGAGGCTCAAAGCCATGACTCAGAACCAAGAGAGAGGAGTGGGCAGCAATGCAGGAGATGCCCCTGCAGGCAGAGTCTGGAGATACACTCACTTCTTGGGGATGCGGAGCCTCAGTGCCCCAGAGAGCTTGTTTGCAAAGGTGCAAGACAAAGACTCAGCACTGTGCCTGTTGGTACAAGACTGGGCCCAGTCTGGGATCTCAGGCATCAGTAAGGAACATGGGAGACATTTGGCACAGGCATCAAAGAGGCAGGGTTGAGTATTTGTAGGAAACGGTGCTGTGGACGACCCTATCTGACTGAGTTAAATTTCTGTCTGACACAATCATTGCTTGCACCCTTCATTTGGTAAGCCACTCCATACGGGCGCTGGGAAAGGACGCAAAGGGTGTCTACAGCTCGCACGTCTCTTGTCCTGTTGAGGTCATATATATATATGATATGGTGTAACACCTTTGCCTTCAAGAATATGAGATGCCTTGAAGGTTTATACACTTTTGTTAGACATTCATGCTACTGGTAAATAAAAAAATCGCCTTCCTGCTAAAATCAGGAGACAGTACCAGAAGTATGTATGAGAACATTGTTGCACAACAGCATCTCTAGGAAGAACTCTTGATTCTGCAGATGCCAAGCTCTGCATCCACTGGCCATGACTCTTCCTCTCGCCCCTGGTTCCTGGTAACCACCACTCTAGTTTTGAAGTGCTCGTCCATATCAGATCCTGGCCAAGCGGAAGCAGGCAGTGTTTGTCTTTTTATGATGTTTTCTTTCATTTGGCGTGGTGTCCTCACGGCTCGGCTCTGTTGTAGCATATAACAGGATTTCTTCCTTTTCTCTTAGGGCCAAGTGATAGTTTATCACGTACGCACACCACGTTTTCTCTATTCATTCGTGTGGCTCCTGATCCTTGCCGTTGGGAACAATGTTGCTATAAACATCAACAAAGATTTGAGACTCATTTTCAGTTTGTTATGGGTGTGTGTATATAGGTGTGTGTGTGTGTGTGTGTGTGTGTGTGTGTGTGTGTAGTGGGATTATCAGATCATGTAGTAATTCGCTTTCCCTCTGAAGTGCACGGACCATTTTGTGTTCGGCCAGCATGCAGAAAGTTCCAGGTACGTTGTTCTTCTGCTCGCTGTCGTCTTGTGGTACTGAAGGTAGAGCTCATAGCTTCGTGCTCGCTAAGCAGGTATCCTGTCACTGAGCCACTCTCCTGGCACAGCCCGTTTACTTTTTAAGCAGCGGCCATCCTGGAGAGTGTGAGGTGATATTTCATGATGTGTTTTGCTTTCCCATGTGTGTATATGTGTTATTAAAATCCTTTTTCTTTTTCTTTAATGTCTCACTTTTGTCTGTGAAATCTTTCGGGGAGGGATCCCAGCCTCACTTCTATCCTGTGCCCATCACACATGTCTTAGTGGCCATGGTGTGGCCTGGATGTGCATAGTGGACTTGGAAGCATGACAAAGGCTTGTCCTTCTGTGCACAGGAAGTGCAGGTGTGTGAGGGTGGCCGGGACAGACAGGCATTTATGACCAAGCCACCCTCCAGGAAGGACGTGTTGTGTTCACACAACAAAGAAAGCCTTCAAAGAGAAGTGGACATTTTCTTCCTCTTTATTCCTTGGGAAGAAAATCAACCCTTCTAACTTGAGATGTGTGAGGCTAAGATTTGGGGTCATGGTAGGACCTCAGCTCTTTCCTAGGGTGACTTGGATGCTGAATTTAAACAGGTTATTGCCTCCTCTTTTCTTTCTCCTCCTCCCCTCCCCATTCTTTTCTTCATCCCCCCTCCTCCCTGTCTTTCTCCCTCTCGCCCCTCCTCTTCCTCTTCCCTTCCTCCCTCTCCTCCTCTTCCTTTCCTCTTTCTCTTCCTCTCTTCTCTTCATCTTCCTCTCCCTCCCTTTCTTCCTCGTCCATGCTGTTTCTTTTTTCCTTTCCTCCCTTCTTCTCAGCTCCCTCTTTTTCTTCCCTCACCTCAAACCCAGGCCTTGTTCACACTCGTAATTACACACTATACCCTGTTCACATTCCTAATCACACTGTTCCTTGTTCACGCTTCCCTACCTCTGAGCTACTGCCACAGCCCGAAGGAAGCTTCCTGGGAATTCTCTGCTTTTCCATTCTTCACTGCTCTGTTCCCTTCCCTACCACTCACTCCCCAAGTTGATCAGTCATGCTGCTTTGCAGTTACATAGAGTCCTGTTGTTTTACTACAGGATGCAGGTCAGACTGATACATGAGTGTGATGATAATCAGGCTAAGAACAGTGTTTTCTTCTTATAATTTATGTTCAGAGTTCCTGTCTGCTTTCTGGAGTAGGGCTTGTCTTTGACCTTTGGTTTCTGTCCTCCCAGAATACCGTAAATTAGATGAGTGTAAAATGAAGTATTTGGGTCTCCTAAATATTCTCCAAGGTCACTCCTAAACAGTTTATGGGATGGCAAATACACAATACAACAAACATCAAGGGATGCTGCCTGTGTACAGCTGGCTGCTGGACCACAGCATCATAAACTTCGGCCCCTCCAACTCAGAATGTGATAGGTAGCAAAGGCTCTCAAGCTGTGAACTGAGTTCTTCAACTAGAGTAAAACTGCCCACCCATGAATGGGTGATCTCAGGGACACAAATGTAGAAACTGAAAGAACTAAGTCAGACCATCCCCCCTCTCCCCACCAAAAATCAATCAGTCAACCCTTCATATCCACGGTTCTGTGTACCTATGGGCTGTGGATTTAACTAATGGTGAGCAAAACTATATTTTAAGATCTGCCTTTACCCTAAGCATGGGCTGACCTCTCTCTTGCCATTGTTCTCTGAATAGTATGAGACAGCAACCCCTGCATGTTTGTGCTGTTACTGTATCTGTAGGGATGATCTGGAGAATGTGGGGCCTGGAGAGATGGCTCAGTGAATGAGCTCACCCTGCCCTGCAAGTGTCAGGACATGAGTTCTAATCCCCATCACCCATGTCAAAAACTGTATGATCACACGTGACTGTAGCTCCCTCATGGGGATGCGGAGCAGACAGTCAGATTCTGGGGACTTTCTGGACAGCCAGCCTCGCTGAAATTGTGGGTTCAGTGATAGACCCTGTCTCAAGGCAGTAGGGCATCACATACAACACACACACATGCATGCACGTACGCACGCTCGCGCGCGCGCACACACACACACACATACACACACAAACACACACACATACAACACGCATGAGCACACACGCACACATGCATACTCTCACACACACTCACACACAGAAAGACACTCACACACATACACACACACACGCACGCACGCACACACGCGCACACACACGAAGGCTGTCTCTATGTGGAAGTGTGGGGTAATTACCTCATGATCATTCCTGTTTCCCACTGCATGCTGTTTCCATTTGCTGAGAGATCAGAAATGTGTGGGGGCTTTTTGGTTTTTGTCTTGCTTGTTTGGTTTATTTATTTATTTATTTATTTATTGCATAAAATAACTATCACACGGGCAGGAAAGATGACGGTGTTGAGTAGGAGTAACAGGCAATCCCTCTGTTGTGTGGGCATGATCAGCTCGCCAGCGCCGTGCGGGCTGTGTCACAGTGAAGAGTGGCTTGTCAGGGGCCCTGGTGGCAGCTCCATCGGAGGACAGAAGAGCAAAGATAACACTGGTCTCATCATACCCTGAACGGGGAAGAGCCAGCACCAGGAGGCCTTGGGTGTCTCAGTCCAGCTAGGCCTCATGGGAAGGGCTACAAGACATCCAACCGCCCTGTGTCTCGGGCAGGAGTCGGCACTCGCAGGATGGAACAGTTTCATAGAGAGATGTGGCTCAGGGACCACGGGCCCTAGTCCTGTTCTCTGCATCCATTGTGTTACTCAGCCACTCTGCTGCTCAGCGCTCCCATAAAGGAAATGAGAGTCTGGGCCACAGAGATGGCTGCACATGTAAAAGTGCTTGCCGTGTCAACCTGGGGACCTGAGTTCCATCCCTGGATCCACACAAAGGTAGGAGGAGACACCCGGCTTTTAAACAGCATTCAACTGGGGCTTGTGTACAGCTTCAGAGGGTTAGTCATGGAGGGGAGCATGATGGCAGGCAGTAGCTGAGAGCCTACACCCTGGTCCATAGGCAGAAAGAGGGAGAGGGAGAGGGAGATGGAGGGGGAGGGGAGAGGGAGGGAGAGGGAGGGGGAGAGGAGAGAGAGGGAGAGAGGGAAGGGGAGGGGGAGGGAGGAAAACTCTGGGTCAGCATGGGCTTTTGACAGTGACACACTTCCTCCAACAAGGCCACACCTTCTGATCCTTCTAATCCTACTCAAACAGTTCCACTCTCTGATAACTAGGCATTCAAATATATGACCCTATGGGGCCCATCCTTATTCCAACCACCACAACCATCAAATCAAAGCGGGGGCTCTGTCATCTCCGGCAATGGGTGGTAGAAGTCACCGGCTGAGCGGCAGCTTGCCGAATGCCATGACTCACTGCAACAGTGTGTAAAGGAAGCAAACCGCCCGCAGAGGAGGCTCAGACTGTGAAGTGCCTGCTGGCCAAGCCCTAGGACCTGAGTGCAGTGCTCAGTACCCTCATAAAAACGTTGGCCTGGTAGGAATGGCTGTAATCCCAGCACCGAGGAGGTTGAGTCAGGCGGATTTGGCGGCCAGCCAGTCCAAGCTGAATTGGTGAGCTCAAGGTAAAAATGAAGACACTGCCCCCACAAAAAACTAGATAGCAGATGTCTTGAGGAATGAAACTTGAGGTTGAGGTCTGGTCTGTACACACATGTGAGCGCGTGCACAGGCACACACACACCCATGCACGCGCGCGCGCGCACACACACACACACACAATCAAAACAAAACAAAACACAAAATAGAATCTCTGATTATTTTAATATTCGTTATTTTAAGAAAATATATCCATTGTCCCGAACAAAGTGAGCTGGTACCAGTGTGAGGGATTCTCACCTGAGAGAAGGAGCCAGCTGGGCTGTGAATTCCCCCTGTCCCATGGAGAATGTCCCGCCACAATGGGACCAGAGGTCACATCCCAGCACAAAGCAGCGAGGTGTTCTGCAGGTTGGGATGAGCCAGGTCTGTGCTCTGGCTGGTGGCCCTGGGTCTCTGAATAGAAACTGGTCAGCCTCAGTGTTTGTCTCTTCAGAAGTTTGACCCTGGAAAGCTGACTGAGGGCCACCTGTACCTGTTCTCCTCACGTACATGGTACTCTGGTTCATCTACCCTCCATCCGGAACCTTCCCTCTGCCGCTCCTCCTTGTCTTACCTCTCCCCACAGAGCTCCTTCTGACTGGCCTTGGAAGGCATCCAGCACCTGGCACTGGGGAGCCGTCCTTACTAAGGGTTTGGGGACACAGTGGTGTGTACTTACCAAAGCTTAAGGGTTCATTTGAGATGCGTGCTGCTGGGCACTAAATCACTTCAGTAGATGGACCAGTTTTATAAACTACTAATTTAAGATGTGTTACATTTGTTCATGCTGCGGAACATTTGTTTGGTGATGTGAAGATGTGTTGCGTTCTTTTCTGTTGCATTTGTTCCGTGGCCTGACTGAAATACGTGATTGGTCTAGTAAAGAGTTGAACGGCCAATAGCTAGCCAGGAGAAAGGATAGGCATGGCTGGCAGGCAGAGAGAATAAATAGGAGGAGAAATCTGGGGAAAGGCATTTAGGAGTGAAAAGAGGAGGAGGAGAGGCCTCCAGGGGCAGCCACCCACCCACCCAGACACCCACCCAGCCACCCAGCCACCCACCCAGCCACCCACCCAGCCACCCACCCACCCAGCCACTCAGCCACCCAGCCAGCCAGCCACCCAGCCACCCACCCAGCCACCCAGCCAGCCACCCAGCCACCCAGCCAGCCAGCCAGCCACCCACCCACCCATCCAGCCACCCAGCCACTCAGCCAGCCAGCCAGCCACCCAGCCACCCAGCCACCCAGCCACTCAGCCATCCAGCCAGCCACCCACCCAGCCACCCAGCCATCCAGCCACCCAGCCACCCACCTAGCCACCCACCCAGCCACCCAGCCACCCAGCCAGCCAGCCACCCACCCAGCCACTCAGCCACCCAGCCACCCAGCCACCCAGCCAGCCAGCCACCCAGCCAGCCACCCAGCCACAGAGTAAGGAGGAAAGAAAGGTTTGTAGGATAAAGATGAAAGCCCAGAGGCAAAAGGTAGATGGGATAATATAAGTTAAGAAAAGCTGGCTAGAAATAAGCCAAGCTAAGGCCAGGCATTCATAAGGAAGAAAAAGACTCCGTATACTTTATTTGGGAGTTGGATGGTGGGCTCCCAAAGAGCAAACGGTTAAAGAGTTAAAAACAAAATACAAAAACAAAACAAACAAAACAGTTCAGCAGCAAACATCTGTTTCCAGTTAAGGAGGTGCATGCTGTGTCTCTGCAGGTAAAAATCTAAGAATAGTTTCTCCTCCCCCCAACGCTTGTCACCTAGTCCTTCTTCCCTTCGGTCAGCTCTCTATGCCGCCTTCCATTCCCATGCCCTGTCCAGTCCAAAGCAAGCGACATCTCTCCCTGGGGGCTGGGGCGCTACCCACTTCTATCCTGCCTACCTGCAGGCTCTGTGTGGCAGATGAGGGAACTGTAAATTGGGTCACACCACACACCTGCAGAGGCTGTATCCTGGTTTGCCATTGCCCATCCACTGGAATCGGCCAAGTCCTCTGGGGCCGGGCTCCCTCTCACCTCCTCTTTAGACCCTCCCCACTCACCTTTCTTCCCCTGGAACCTCCTAATCTATCTCAATGCTCATTTCCTGCACACCAAATGCTCCTCTTCCTGGAAATGTCTTCCTCTTGCGCTTACTGTGGAGAGCGCTGCACCACGCTGTGCCTCTGCCTAGACGCCCGACTTCTCTCACCCACTGACTCCAGTCTCCTTTCATTGTATCCCCACACTCAGTCCCAGCTATGGGAGTCGTTATTAGTTATTATTATTATCTTCATGATCACTGTCATTATTATTTTGGGCTCATGTCTCTCTCCTGCCAGTGGCCTCCCAGGAGCTGGTTCCCCTTCATTCCAGTTTTCTGACGCCTTGGTGTGAACTTTCTCTTCTTACTCTCTCTCTCTGTCCCTTCAGGCCTGTGCCCATCGCTGGAAGAACATCTACTATGAAACAGACCACATCCTGCCCCATGGATTCTGCTACCTCATCCCATCCAACCTCCAGGCCAAGGGCAAGGTGCTGATCCCCTGCTATGAAGGTGAGTCGGGGTCGGTTCTCCCCAGTGCCCTCCTAGCTGGGTGACTTCAACAGCCCCTCAGCCCTCGCCCTCCACACCACCCCCTTAGCATTTCCCTGGCTTTCTGCTCGGCGACATGATTGTCTCCGGATTGATTCTGGCATCAAAGTCCTGTCCGGGGAAGAGGCAAACTGCAAAGGGGGCACTGGTCCAGACCCTATCCAGCCCGGCCTGTTCCTCCACACAGAGCCCATGGTGCTCTTTACCAAGTTCCAGGAACAAGTTTTGGCCAAGCCATCCAGTGCTTCCCTTAAGGTTCCTGGCACTGACGACCATCAAAGTGTCTTGGGAAACTTACTGTCCTCTTCTGGGCCTGAGTTTCTCTACCAGAAATGCCAAGAGCTGGTCCACAGCTCCCCTGCAATGTCAGGATGGTCATGGGACTTCCACACAACTCCTGAATGTTCTGGGCTGGAGAAAGGCGATCCAGTATCCATAAGGCAACAGCGTGGCAGAAGTTGATCACCCAGCTCCAATTACTCAGTCATCTCATGAGATCCTACTTGTGATTGTCATTGAGTGTTCTGGAACCACACAGAGGCACAGCCCTTGGGTCTGAGGAACAGTTTATGTCAGTCAGCCATCACTGCTTAACAACACATTTTCATCGCAAACAATGATAAACATGGGTGGCTTTTCACTTGTGCAGGCCAGACAGGCTGGGATCAGCGGAGCTGGGTGGGCTCTGAATGCAGGTTCAGTTCAGGTCCATCTCACTTGTTCCGAGTCCAGAGCCACACAGGGTGAGCTGTGAGAGCACAGTGACCACTTGGGGACGTCTACAGTGCCCTGCTTCAGAACTGCAAGTGCTCGGGCAAAGCTAAGCTATTGCTCAGCCGGTTGAGTCTGAGCCTTAGATGCGTGCTGGTGGCTTGCACTCTCTCCTTTCCCAGCCCCGCTCTGGTGGCTGAGCCAACTCCCTCTCTAAGTGCAAGGCTCTTTGGTTTCTAGTTGCCTCTCACTTGTTTGAAAAGACGTCTCACTGGCCTGGGCCCACACCGCCTTGTGCTTCCCTGGGCTTTCTTAGGTTTTGCACTGGTGGCCATCAAGAGAGTCTTGACGCTGTGTGGACATTGTAAATCATTTTGGGTTTTTTTTGTCTCATGATGGGAACCCCAGGGCACAATTTAGAACTCAGAAGGCCCAAGCAGGATGTCCTGTGAGCTGTTCTCTACAGAAAATCCAACAGGGACATGACACAGGGCATTGGCCTCTTCTGGTGTGAGGAAGGGCCATGTTCGTAGCTGCCTCTCTTCCCTGCCTGAAGAGCCTGGTTGGCCCTGGCTGGGCCAGGTGGGAAGACTAAAACGCTGTTTGCCTCCATATTGTCCTAATGGAAGAACTTCATCTTACAGACGGTGGTGATATAGCCAGGGAAGAGTGATTGATTGCATAGCATGCCTGAAGTCCCAGGATTTTTATCCTCCAGGCTAGCCAGGGCTTATGATCCCTGTCTCAATTACAAACAAACGAATACATGAATAAGTAAATAAAAATCATGTCATCAGTCAAGGGTGGAGCCCATGAGCATCACGCCAGGACATCAGGTGCTCGCTGGCCGATCTCATTACCTCCCATGTCCCACACAGCTCACTGCTAAAAAGCAAACCCACATGGAACGGGCCTGACCTCGGTTTGTAGCCAGAGGCCACCATTTCAGCTGAGCCCTAGCTCATGTGCGACTCCACAAGTGAGACGACAATATTCCTTAGCCTGTGCTGGGAAGATTCACAGTTGTTATGCAGAGGTAGCTAAGGGAGGCAGGCTCAGCCCAAGGGACTCCAGCTTTGCTTGGTTCTCGACTCCACAGTGATCAGATGGAGCCGGGGTAGACATTAACAAGATGGTTTTGCTCCCGCCAGCCACCTGACTTTCTTCCTTCAGGACAGACACACATTCTAATTTGTCCTTTGGCAAAGCAAACAGTAATGGGTGGGGCTGGTATAGGATCCTGGGACAGAGAGCAGCTGCTTAGGAAAAGTGAGGAATGGACAATGGTTCTATGTCCTCACATCTGTAAAATGAGAGGGCTGGCGACACTCAGATCTCTCTAGAAGACTGGGCCGGTGAGGGGGGTAGGGGTGGGGGCGGGCCACAGTGAGAGGGCCCTTGCCTGTACTGTTGGTTTTGGAGGCCTCTACTTCCCTGTTTTGTGGTCTAAATGAAACCAACTCGGGCTCCCAAAACAGCCATTCTTTTCTCTTAATGTGGAAAATCTCAGTGTCGAAAGCTACCCGCCCCAGGTGGGGAATCACATTATGGTCAAGGACAATGGAAGCGTTTAGTGTTTAACAGAGTCTTTCAGATGTCCCAGACCAGCTTGCTAGGTGTGTCAAGGTCCAGAGGGATAAGCGTGGTTCACTGTGTGGGAGTGGACGGATGACTGACAGTGTCTGGAACAAAGCTCAGGATCCCAAGTCCCGGTGACGGAGTCCTGACCCTCCAGCTCCCTCTTATGAACTTGGTCTGCGGCTGTTAAGTGATCAATCAATACGTCTCAGTGTCTGGCATGTATCCGCTAACATGGTATACGCTGAGCACATCACGTATGTTAATATGCTTGTCATATGCCATTGCGCTGGGCTTAACTAAGCAATGCTTGTTTTTCACTGTAAGGTGACTGAGCCCATTTAGTTTTGTTCCGTGCCTGACAGGCATCAGATAGACGCAGTCCCAGGAGACAGGGCATCGGGACATGGGGGTAGAACAGAGAGAAGGGGGTGTCTGAGTCTTGGAAGACAACCAATGGGAATGGGGAGGGGTATGGGAGGGTAATGGGGGGGGATGTGAGGACAGCGTGCACTAATACATGTATGAGGGATGGAGAGTTGGTTCATGGTTAAAGTGCCTGCCACCAGAGTTCAGGTCCCCATGTAAATGCTGGTGAATGCGGCACAGCCATGGAAGGAAGAGGCAGAAGAGGCCTCACCTGGCTGGTGAGGCTAGCAGTTGTGATGAGCTCTGGGTTTGATTGGGAGGTCCTGCGTTGATGAGCTCTGGGTTTGATTGGGAGGCCCTGCATCAATGGATATGGCAGAACAGCACTTGAGGATGATTCCTGATGCTGATCTTGACACGCATGCATGCACAATATGCACATGAACGTATGCATACCCACATACACACATGCACGGTACATACATATGAAAAGCTACATGCCTGAAAATGTCATAATTAAACTTATTTTTTTTTACAATTATTAAAAATCAGATTCAAAACAGAAATCTCCCGCTTGCAGGAGAGAACACAGGAAATACCGCGTTTGAGCATTGATGCTGTGTAGGACTGAACTCCCAGACTACACACGCTCTGTTGGGTACCTCTCCCCAAGGGCTTGAGCTGCATCCAAGCTCAAGGGGGCGTTAAGGCAGGATCATTCCATTGTATGACTGAGGGGATTGAAATCTGCGGAAGGCTTCCAGTCTGTGTCAGTCAGGGAAGCGAGGGGCAGAGGAAGTCTCCTGTAAGTCATGGCAGCCAGCAGGGGGCAGGGGCAGGGGCAGGGGCAGGGGCAGGAGAGGCTCCTGCTTCCAGGTTCACTTCCTGTGTGGTGCTCACAGAATGCAGGGCTGCTAAGGCAGTCTTGACAGAGGCTAACACTGCCTCCTCCTTGGCATAGTTAAAGCTCCTGCCTGCTCTGCAGTGGGGGTGCGTGCTGGCATGGCTCCATCCCTCTTTGGGTTGTTGTGGGGAGCTCACAGGAAAGCTCAGATGACCATACTCAAGAGAGCCTACCTGTTGGACTGTAGTGTGGAAGCTCCTGGTAGGGCTTCCGAGGGTCCGCTGTGCAATCGTAGGAAGATCGGAAGGTTAGTTCCTCAAAGTCTCTGCGTGTGGGTCACCTTTCCAAAATGTCTAGAGCTACTTTTGTTTTATTAAAAAAATAATTTATTGTCAAGAGGTGGTGCACATGTCCTTAATCCCAGCACTCAGGAGGCAGAGACAGATGGATCTCTGAGTTCGAGGCCAGCCTGGTCTACAGAGTGAGTTCCAGGACAGCCAGGGCTACACAGAAAAACCCTGCCTCAAAACAAACAAACAAACAAACAAAACCCCAAACAACAACAACAACAAGACAAACAAGCAAGAGAGATTTTAATTTTGCCTCTCTCTCTCTCTCTCTCTCTCTCTCTCTCTGTGTGTGTGTGTGTGTGTGTGTACATGAGTAAAGATGCCCACGAAAGCCAGAAGGGGGCGTCAGATTCCCCGCTGCTGAATTTACAGGGGGTTTTGAGTCACCTGACTTGGGCTTTCTGTGAGAGCAGTGCACACTTTTAACCGCTGAGCCATCTCTCCTGTCCCTCAGGCCTTGGGTTTGGCACAGAACATTTTTCTCTGGCTTCTCAGGTGCTTCCTGCTGGATGGGAGAGGCTACCAAAATACCCTGCTGGGACCAGGAAATACAGAAGGAATTGGAAATAAAAAGAGTAGGGCATAGAGCAAGATAAACTCACAGAGCATCCCTTCAGCAACACGTTAAGTTTACATTTGTCTCGTACAAGGACAGTATCATTGTGCACATATGCTGTCTTTGTCAGAACGTGGGAGAAGATAAGAACAAAGGGGAGTGACTTGGGGACACTACCTGACATTAGTGACTGTTAAATATACCAGAAATGTTTAATTTATTATTATTTTTAATCCCGTGTGTGTGCGCGTGCCTGTGTACACGCTCTCTCCAATGTGAGTGCAGCTTCCCTGGAGGCTGGAGGTCAGAGGTATCAGATCCCCCAAACCATGTCTCCAGCCACCACACCAGGGTATTTTAAGCTTCCCAAAACTTAAGTCAGTACATGTGATAAAATCAAGTACAGCCCCTTCTTTCATCCTTTACCCTTGAACTCACCAAGGCAAAAAGCCAGAGTCGGCAGGAGACTGCAGAGAGCCCATCTTGTTATTGTGATGGGAAAAATCTCATGAGTCTGGGGCAACCTGAGGGCAGCCTGGGAAAATTAGCAAAG